GGGGGGGGCAGGGCCGGGGCGAGAGGGGAAGGAGAATCGCAGACCCCGTCGCTTCTCAGCAACAAGTCCGAGGAGGAGAAGGTACCCGTACCTCGACCCTCCCCTCGCAGACCCCGTCGCTTCTCAGCAACAAGTCCGAGGAGGAGGAGGTACCCCATGCCTCGACCCTCCCCTCGTGTTCTCTTCTTCTTCTTGGGGGCCTCCTGGGCCTCCGTCGTCGCCGCCGCCGGATTCGCCGCGAGATCCTGGTCAGAACGCACCCCAGGAGAGGTCCGGGGAGCAGAGGCTTGCAAAAAAAAAAAACAAGGATTGCAAAACGAAGGGTTTTTTGCAATCCTTCGTTCAAACGAAGGTTTTTTTGCAATCCTTCGTCCAGGGTTTTTTCGCAATCCAAGGTTTTTTTTTGCAATCCTTCGTGTCGGCGCCTCCTGGTTTCCCCCAATCACAGCAGTGCATATCGGCGGTGGACAAGCCTCCCTCTAGCAAACCTCCCCTAAGTGAAAGCGGCCTGAGGCCGAAACCGACGGACCTGGACCCGCAAAAAATGACGGCCGCGACGCCCTCCCGCGAAATGAAGGCGGCCAATTCACTGATCGACGTGTCAGGGCAGGAGGTCTGTCCACCCCCGAAAGGGGGGAAGGCAGGGCCGGGCGAGAGGGGAGGGAGAACCGCAGACCCCGTCACTTCTCAACAACAGCAACAACAACAATAACAAAAACAGCAACAGCAACAGCAACAGCAACAGCAACAGCAACAGCAACAACACCAACACCAACACCAACACCAACACCAACACCAACACCAACACCAACACCAACAACAACATCAACATCAACATCATCATCAACAACAACAACAACAATTACTAGCACGTGGGGACACTCCGTTCTCACCAGCGCCAGGGTTTTCATAGGAGGCGGGCAATACCCCCACTTTGTGGGGGGGCCGGTCCAAGCTCTACCGAATTTCCAAACGACTCTTCGCCACCACCCACACCCAGCTGCCCGCCCTATGACGTTCGGACACTTCACTTCGTGGCATGCGGACGACCGTGGCTACTATTCAGGGCCCCGCGGCCGACGACGACGGCGTGCGCGCGCGAAGAAAAAACGAATGTGTCCCGCATGGTATTATTTGACAGGGATGATGGCCCTGGCAGGTGCGCAACCGTTGTTGCAGAAGTTCGAAAAAGTTGCTCGCAAAAGCCCGTTTGACAGAAATGTTTAAAAAGTGTTGGGTTTCCTACGAATCCGCAAGAGCGCGCGGGATGACATTTTGACATAAAAAAAAAACATTGGTTTTTTGATGTTTGTATTAAAAAATCGCTACGAAAACCAAGGTTTTGGAAGGATTTCGTCTTGCGCGCGCGAATGTCCACTTTACCTTATTTTTTGCAAGGGATTCTTGAAGTTTGATTATGTTAGAACAAGAAATGTCCACTTTACCTTATTTTTTGCAAGGGAAAGCGGGGGACAACAAAACAACCGGATCTGGATCACATCGTTTTGCCTGAGGCTTCCTCACGAAAATGATGAAAACGTGGCTGCGGCCTAGGCGCGGCGGGGGGGGCGCGCACCAGGGGTCCCAACAATAATTATTCTTAAGAAGAAATAATGTTCAACAACAACAACAACAACAACAACAACAACAACAACAACAAGTCCATAAGAGTCCCCGAATCACGGAATGCGAAACCAAACATGTGGTGGGACCTCGGTGCACGGAAGCATCACAGTACTCCCATGTGCGTATCGCCGCGGCCAGCAGGCAATGATGCCGCACTGGTCACGGCACGCGACGCGTTAGAGCCACTGTGTGCTCCGGCGCGCCTGCCCGACGCTGAGGCAACTAGCAATCAGGCTTAAGTCGGGCCTACAGGGGAATTTTGGACGACAAATGAGCAATAGTCAAACAACACCCCAGAATGGCAACAACAACAAAAAAGTCCCCCGACTATTGTTGTACTCTTTTTGAAAAGCCCCCCTGTAGAGGGACAGGCCCGACTTACAACTAGCAGTCAGGCGGGCCCCTCACGAACTTCCCGTGCACTGAAACAGAACAGGAGAGGCTCTCAATTTGGAGGGCTCCGGGGGCCCTCGCCAGGCCTCGGGACCGTCAGTAGACGACTCAGGATGCAAAGCTGGCCCCTGGGAATGGTTCGAGACCTCTGGGTGTCGAGGCTGCGCCAGAATCATGACTCAGGCGAATTTGCTTGCATGGCACTCCCCCCGAGCCTCCTCCAGCACGGCCCTTGCAGGGAGGGCCTTCGACGACGACGCCCAGAGACAAGAGGAACTCGCAGAGTGGCCTCAGTCCTCCGCGCCATCACGAATGGCATGGACACCCCCATCCCAGACTTTGTGGGGGGTTCCAGACTGGACCAAATACTTGGTGCCAAAGTGAGGGGATAATATACAGCGGGGCTGCGCCCATCCTCAACAGGGGATGCGTCCAGGCAGCGTTCCCCGCCCTCCACCTCTGCCCCGCTTCGGAGCGGCCCCTGCTATTCGCGCGGAGCCCTCCCAGGATGGGGGGGGGGGGGGGCGAGACCTCGCCCGACGCTCTTGCGCAGCTGCTCCCCTCGCCGCCGCCGCCCCTCGCCCCGCGCGGCGCGCACCAAAAAGGGGGGCGGCTTTTTCTCGGGCAGCGGCGGGGGGGGGGGGGCTTCCAAGAACACGGGCGGCCTTCTGGATCGGCGGGGAGCGAGGGGGAAGGCTCGAAGACCTCCGGCCCTCTGAGCAAGTTGCTAAGCCTTCCCGAAAGGCGCAAAAACTTCTCAGAGGGTGCGAGGGCTTCTGCGAAGTCCCGCCGCCTTCTGGGATGGCCTTCCCCTTCTCACTTCCCCCCTCGCTCGCCGCCGATTCGAACACCCCCCCCGCCCTTCGAAAGAGCCCTCCTGACACCCCCTCGAGCCGTCGAAGATCGGGCCGGGCGAAAGGGGGGGATAGCAAAGGGGGGGGGTGAGAATCAGCTCACGTAGCTGGTTTCCCCTGCGCCTCCTGGCGCCGGGAGGCGGAGGCGCCCATGTATCGAGGAATGGGCCCAGCGGCGGGGCCGAAACCAGCTGCAAGCAGCAGATTTCGTACCCCCCCCCTTTCCCCATCCCCCCCTGTCGTTCGGCCCGAGAAGAAGCCACCCGTGTCCCCAGAAGCCCGCACCCGGCCCTCCTGGCAAAGGCCGCCTCCCTCGCGACAAGCCCCCCACCGGTGCGCCCCCCCCGCGGGCCGTCGCCGCCGCCGCTGCCCCCGCGGTGCGGGCCGCCGCCGCATCTTGGAGGCGACGGCATGGACAAATAGCCCAGGGGGCGGGCGTTGCATGCGAGGCGGGGATTGATCCATATCCACCGCCTGGGAACCGACGTCCTGGTGCCCCAGCGGGCGGTGGAAATGGATATATTTCGGCCCCCGGGGGCCTGAATATGTCCATATCCACCGCCTGCCGCGGCTCCGAAAACTGACCCTCCAGGCGGTGGTCATGTATAAATTCCCGCCTCGGATACACGCATCCCTCCGGGACTCCCTGGATAATACACGTGGCGGACTCCGGGAACCCTGAACCAAAAAATGTTGGTCATCTCTTGAGGGAGCAAATTGCACTTCCGCCACCTCCCGCCGCCATTCCGCCGGCTTCCGCCGGCGGAGGCGGCCTCGTTTACTTCCGCCGACCTTCCGCCGCCCTTTTCCGCCGACTTCTGCGGCCGAAGAGATGACACGTCCTTCGATCCTCGAAGACAAGGCCGTTTTCGGAATGCCCCATGTATTCCCCCACCTCCCCCCATGGGCTATGCACCGCTACCGTTCGGGTGGGGGATCGACTACAGAATTGATTTACTCCAGAATTCGATTTGCCGCCGGATCTGCGAAGCACTGCGTAGAATGCCTCGTACAGGTCTACGGGACACTCCTATGCGCGTGTTGCAGATTCCACGCAGAAGTCGATTATGTAGCGAATCAGGTCGGTAGCCGACCCCCAACTCGAATGGTCGCCTCCGACACGCGTCGTTGTCGCCGTCGTCCTCGAGACCGTTTTTTTCTTGAATCGGTGATAACCCGGTTTGTCCTGGGGGGGAGGGGGGGAGGGGGTCGGCCGGCCGATCACCTAACCCCCTCGCTGTGGGCAACCCTGCATATGCCCGCGCCCCCCCCCCCCCCCCCCCGCGGACCTGCACAACCGGCAAGGTTAGGTTTTCCTGGGTGGGGTGGGGGAGGGGGGGCAAGCCCGATAACCTGGGTTATCGCCCGACCCTAAAAGAAGTCTCCTACTCGAATCCTCGCCTCCGAAACGCGTCGTTGTCGCCGTCGTCCTCGCCGCCGCCGGCGACAGCGACGACGACGACGTCAGCCGGGCCTCGTCGATCTTCTCGGCGGCGGAGCCTATCGAGTCCGCGACGCTCTCGTGCCGGCCGAGGGCTCGGCACAGGAAGTCCAGCAGGGGGTCGGGGTCGCCCCAGGGGTCCGCCCCCTCGTCCTCCTCGGCGGCGGGAGTTTCTGCGGCAACTCATGTAAAGGGGCCCTGGGACACAAATAAATGCACACACATAACAGGGTTCCCCATATTTTCCCATATTCACTGGGTTTTTGTCTTCCCCCCCACCTCCTTTGTTTTCCATATTTTCTGGGGAATCGACGATTAATTGTGTCTGTGTGTGTTTCTCCCTCCTGATTATGGGGGGCCTCCCATCCCATCTTGTCGGCTCTTGCGAGTCGACCCTAGTCTTCGCTGAATCGTCGCCAGTCGACGCAAAATCGACGCTCATCTACGCTCATCGACGCTGAATCGCTTCTCATCGAGTCCCAGACGCTAATCGGCGCGAATCGACGCTAAAGAAAAAATTACGAGGGGATACGAGGCTCCCTCGATTTGCTACCGGAGGAGTGGACGGGGGAGGGCATCAGCTCGGCATCGCTCGGATGGGACGCAGAAGGGCGAACTGATATACCGCGCCCAGCTCGGCGGCGCCCGGCCGCTGCGCACACACACACAGACACAGACACAGACACAGACACAGACACAGACACAGACACAGACACAGACACACACACAATACAGAAAGCGCCCGCCACGGGAAAGTTAGACTACTATAAGATTTCTTGGCGCGCGCGCCGCCCCTTGGGCAGGGGGACGCACACACTGTATTGGTATGTCGCGGCGACGCCGACGTCAGCTTGCCATCGCTCCTCGGACGCCCACTCCCCGCGCCCTGCTCGGTGTCGTCCTTTCTTGTCGCTGGACAAGCCAAAACGCTCCAGGATGCCCCAAGGTGGCTCAGCTTCTCTGGCGTCGGCCTCGCCGGACAAAACATGCACACGTCCGAGCGATGCCTAGTTTGGGCCTGCCTCCAGGGGGCGACGACATCGAATTCGAAGCGGCGATACCTCGCCGAGAAATCGGCGACGAGCCTCTGATGACGCCTCCGCGCGCTCCTGGGCGGGGGCGGGCTATCGGGCCCCCCATCGTGGATGAGTGGGCGATTCAGGGCGCGCCCCCCCGTCCTCCTCGGCGGCGGCGGCGGATGGGGCAACGAACTGCGTAAGCATACCCTGTCGGAGGCTGGCGCGGATCTCTTCGATCGGCACTGGGACCCTCCTGGGCGACGCCTCGAGCGTCGCCCCCGGCGCGCTCCGTGGACCATGGAGGGGGTCCCACGCCGATCCGAGTCACCCTCGCGGACCTCCGAAAGTTTATGTCTATGCTGATGATCCTTCGTCGAGAGATTCGCACCACGATCGGGAACATGACGGCTGTAACGTCAATATGCGTATCGCGGAAAACATATTTCAGAACGGTGACGACTGACACGCGGCGTAAAGGATGATGCCGAGGGTTGGATGTAACACGCTGGCTGTGATGACAGGATGCAGGCTTTACACTAGGAGCCCGAACACAAGAAACCTTCCACAAGGAGCCCAACCCTGAGGCCCCAGGAGGTTCATCGATTCTTGGTGTGGGAACGTCACGCTTTCCAAAGCAAAACCTTCGAAACCCAAGAAACCCAGGGCACCCTGGAGGCAAGCAAGGTGCTGTTCTTGGCATGGGTACCCCACTGTTTTGAGCCGTGGCAGGCGGGAACATTGTTTGGCTTGTGACGTTGTCGCCATTGTGGGGGGCAGATCCTGGGCGACGAGCGCTCCTGGGAGACACCGAACGGGTCGGCGCTGGCGCGGCAGAGGTTCAGAGAGGTGCGCAGGCAGCGACCGAAAGAGATCGAGGCAGATAGACAGAAACCTTGCGTCCAGGTGGACGCGTTGGCAGGAGAAGAGGTGTGGCCAAACGCCACTCGAAACGCTCGACGCACAGACGTGTGACCAAACGCCACACGAAGCATGGATGTGTGACCAAACGCCGTACCTAAGGATGACGGCGGTTGATGAAGACGACGATGAAATATCTGCTCGCCGGTTCAAACATGCTGCGACGACTTGCAAACTGAAAACGCCCGCTGTTGTGAGATCGAGGCAGAGGAAGGTCAGTATCAGGCTGTCTTTATGTAGACCCAGACACTTGCCGTCTCTCGGACGTCCATTCCTTGTGCGTTTTTCGGTTTCGTGCGTGTTTTGTCTTACTCGATGATCCAAGATGCTCTTCGATGGTCCTCGCCGAGAAAAAATGCACACGTCCGGGCGATGCCAAGGACAAGGTCACCTGCATGGCATCCTCCAACCCTCCCCTCGCCGCCTTTCAAGCAGCGCTGGGCCGAAAAAGCGCACGAACGAGTCCTGCCTTGCGTGAACACCCGATGTCCTGTCGGGCCTTGCCACGCCCACCCCCCTCCATGCAAGTAGACCAGCCGGAATCTAACAAACGGCTGCCTCGATGCAGAGGTAGAAAGAAAGAGAGAGAGAGAGAGAGAGACCACTTCAAATTTCCAGGCAGCAAGAGCAACTCGACGACCCCATCCCCGACGATCGCACGAAAACGTGTGGAACCACCGCCGACGGCATCCGAAGACCCCCAAAGAGACTGAAGACGAGACGCGCGTCAAGACGACCCCAGGGCAATCTAGCGTGCGCGCGATCATAGCAATCCCAAGGGGTGGCTCTAGAACGCGCAACACATACGATAATTATGCGACGAACAGAACAACAATGACGCTCTTATATTGCATACGGAGAGGAAGTCTCAAAACAAATAAAACATGTACTCATACAAACATATCACGATACTGTAACCGAAACATGCACGTAAGAACGCAATTCAAACACAATGGGTCCCAACCAACCGTCATAATACACAATCGAAAAAAACGGAACCTTCGATTCATGACATACGGCAGCGCTCTCAAACTCGATTGGGATCTCTGCGTTTCCAGAACTACATACGTTCAAAGCAAGGCCAGCAACGACACTCGAACGACTGCGTCGGCCGATGGTCGATGGACAGGCGCGCAACTGCAGTCCTGTCCCGAGCATACTTTAGAAACACACTACACAGATCTGCTACGAGGGAGCCCCACCCCCCAAGACAACGTGCATCCCGAGCGCTGTTGAACTCGTCCCACATCTCCGCCTGGCCGCGGGCAGGACTTGAGCAGGGACCGACCGTCCCGGCATTCCTATAGTCCTACCACAACATGTTCCTAGAACCCAGCGATGTTCTAAGAACCAATCAAGGTTCTTAGAACATAAGCCCGATGTGATAAAACAAGACAGACTCCGCCAGAGATGTTCTACGAACATTTCGTGGAAACCGCGAGAAAGAAGGTTCTTAGAGCATGGCTTGATACTTCTATAGGCGAGCCAGGACGCTTCGCCATTGCTTGAAGGAAAGGGATCGGAGGACGGGGCGGGGGGGGGACCCGGCAAGAGCCGGGCCGCCACCGCGCCAACCTGGCACGCCGAGGCGTGGCAGAACTGCCACGTGCTGCCTGGGGGGCGATTCTGCAAACATCCAAACCACGCCCCCCCCCCTCGCTCAGCTGCGCGTCTCCCCACGCCTTCTGAGGCTCCCTGGGCGGCCCAGCCCAGGCGGCCCCCCGGGGGCTCTCGAAGCCCCCTTCCCCCGCCCCCCCCCCGCCCGTGGCCTCAAAGACGGACGCAGCGGATGCCCCAGGTCACCAAAAACCTGCGAAGCGTCCAGAAACGTCCAAAACGGCACCCGAATATGGCAACGGAACAGAAGGCCGCCGTGTTCTTAAAACGGCGCGGGGAGGAGTCGAGCCGGGCGAAAAGGGGAGGGTCGCCAACGGGGGGGGTGCGAATCAGCTCTCGTAGCTGGTTTGCCGTGCGCCTCCCGACGCACGGAGGACGGAAACCGCACGGCGGCAGAGCCGAAACCAGCTGCGCACGGCAGATGTCGCAACCCCCCTTTCCCCTTTCCCCCCCCCCTTCGTCCGAACCGGAAGGATTGTGGGGCAGCGCTGGGGGAAGGGGGCGGGCTCAGGCAGACAGGGACGCGAGGTGATAGGCGGGTTCAGGGGAGGACATCGAGCTGGAGTCGGCGATGCATAGCCGAGAGATCGGCCCTAGGTCCCGGATAGCGAATTCCGCACGCTCCTCGGCGGGGGGGGGGGCTATCGGGCCCCTGTCGGCGATGAGTGGGCGATGCGTCCCCACCCTCCCTGTACCCACCCTGCCTTCAGGTGCCCCGTGGATTTAGGTCGGACATGTCCTCCTACAGGCGGCTTCTGGAAGAAGACATAGAATAAACAAATTATGCTCAACAGTACTCAAACATAGGTGTTAAGCATCGTGCCCAAACTATTTCGTCACTATTTTTGAATATTCCTCCTGTGCAGGGGCACTCCCGGGTGAACCGTAGATTTCGGGTATCATAAGTCGGCTCTCCTGCACATGTGCGGGACGACGGAACACCCCCGGAACGACTTCGACGAGGCGCAACTTCCGGAGCGCGCCTAGAGGCTGGAAAACCGCCGAGCACCGACGAAAATGTACAAAAATCTAGATGCCCCCCCCCGAGCTTTAGATCGGGCATGTCCTCCTACAGAGAATGTCGTACGACAAATAGCATTGATTGGAAGACCACCCCAAAATAATCCAGCAATTACTCCGGCGGTAGGGCTCCAGATGAGAACGCATTCAACTTGGCCCTGGCCATGTCCTCCTCGCAATGCGGAGGCCCTCCATACGCTTTTTGCGTCCTTTTCCTGTTCTTCCTCCTTCTCGTCCTCCTCGTTGCATGTATTGTCGTTTTCGTCCTCCTCTTCCTTTTCCTCCTCCTGTTCCTCCTCGACCTCCTCCTCTTCCTCCTCCTCCTTTCCCTGTTTGTGCTCCTCCTCCGCTTCCTTCTCCTCCTCCTTTCCCCCCTCCTCCTCCTCGTCTTTCTCCTCCTTCCTTTTTTCAGCATTCCCGCGCTAATGCTCCGTATCTGGTTTCTCCTCCTCCTGTTTCACTTCTTCTCCCCCTCTTCCTCCTCCTCCTCCTCCTCCTCCTCCTCCTTGTCCACTTGCTCCTCTTCCACGTTCTCCTCCGTTGTCCCTCTCGTCATTTCCATCCCGCTCCTTTTCCTCGCGCGCCTCTCCTTATTGCTGGCTGGGGCACGAAGGTCGGTTTTTGTTCGGCGTTGTCACCGACACAGCCACCAAGGGCGGTTTTTCGGATATGACGTCGGGGCAAACCCGCGGGCGGATTATGGCGCGGGAGCAAGCTGGTGGGACAACCCCTGGCTAGCTGCGGCCGGGCTCAGGCGGAAGGCAGCGCGAAGCCGTGCTCAGCCGCGAGCTGCTCCGCCTCAGCCCTGGAACTCCCCGCTCTTTTGTCAAATTCCCCAAGAGCCTTCCGCAGGGACGGCGGCGGCCTGGGCTCCAGGAGCTCTCGTGCGGGCGTTCGCACGATCAGCATGTTCCGCATGCGCGTGGCGCGGGATGACATGGCATAGAGGTGCAGCCACGTCCGACACGCCCGTGCGACCAGCGTCCTCGTATACGGCTTATTCAATGGTACCTTCTTCCATACTCACGCCTGCATAGCCCGACGCTGATGACAGCTACACGACTTGGATGACCCGCCTGCGATTCGAACAACAAGGGCCAGCACCACAGAGAGGGGCTCCCGCTCGAGATTCCCTCGCGACCGCTCGGGTTCGAACATGAGGTGGGAACTCCACAAGGAGAGGCTCACGCTCTAGACTTCCTCACGATTCACTCGCGGACGACGCTCTGGCTCGAGACTTCCTCCAGATTCAGGCCCGAGGAGCCCAACAGCGACCACAGTCACAAGATGTCGGGCGGCCCGCGCAGATTCGAGCAGGAAGTGCAGGCGCCGTAGGGGGGGCTCCCGTTCGAGACCTCCTCGAGACGGCACCGATTCGAACATGAGGTGGGATACTCATAGGGCGGGGCTCCAGCTCGAGCCTTCTTCGCGATTCCCGAACCGACGACGGTGCCCAGGGAAAACTACTCACCTGAGCTGCGGGCCCCATAGGGAGGGGGCTCCCGCCTCAGACTTCCTCGCAATTCACTCACAGACGAGGCTCCCGCCTGATACCTCCTCCACATTCAAGCCTCAGGGGCCCAAAAATGACGACAATTACAGGATCCCGATGACCCGCTCAGATCAAAAACATGAGCGGCGGGCCCCATAGGGAGAAGGCTCCCACTATTCACTCACAGATGAGGCTCCCGCCTGACACCTCCTCCAAATTCAAGCCTCAAGGGCCCAAACATGACCAATTACAGGATCCCGATGACCCGCTCGGAATAAAAACATAAGCGGCGAGCACCATAGGGAGGGGCTCCCGCCTGATACCTCCTCAAATGTGGGGATAGACGATGATGACAATGGTGATGATGATGGTGTTCACTCGCATCCGAGGCTCCCGCCTGAGACCTCGTCAATATGAGTGTGTGTGTGTAAGGGTAAGTGTGTGTGTGTGTGTGTGTGTGTGTGTGTGTGGTAATGACGATGTTGACGATGGTGTCTAACAGCCGAGGCTCCCGCCTGAGACCTCGTCAAGATGAGTGCGTGAGTATGTGAGCACGTGTGTCTGAGAGAATGATGATGTCGACGATGGTGTTAGGGGTAATGCTGATGATCATGATGATGCTGTTGTTGCTGATGATTAGGAGTAGCAGTTGCGAGTGGGTGAGTGAGTTGGAGAATGAGAGTGTGTGCGAGCGTGTAAGTGATAATGCTGTGTTCACGATGATGATGCTGATGCTGATGATGATGATGATTCAATGATGATGAGGCTGATGCTGATGCTGATGCTGATGCTGATGCTGATGATGATGTGAGTGTGTGAGTGTGTGAGTGAGAATGGAAGGGTGTTCCTGTTCCTGCGCGTGGTGTCCAGACAAAAACAAGAGCCCCACTTTGGATTTGGAGAATAATTGAAAAATCATCCCCTGACTATTTTTTACTACTTTGGAATTTATCTCCAGTAGAGGGACACGCCCGACTTATGCTGATACTGAAGGGCTCCCAATGGCCACCGCACCCTGCGGGAACCCCCGAGAGAGGACCCCACCCCGCGGACTCCAGCCGCTTTCTTTGGCGGATCCCCCGCGCGGAACGTATCCTTGGGGGTCCCAAAACCGTGTGGTGACAAACCCGGCGGTGACCTTGAAATCCGTGAGGACCTCACCGCAGGGTCCGTAGAGGGGCATGCCTGACTTCAGAACGGCCGCGCCGCGGTCTGCGGGGTCTCGGGGGTCCTAACGACCTCACCGCAAGGTCCGTCACCACACGGCTTTGGGACCTCGGAAACCCCTGGGCGCCCGAGACACCCCCGAGACGCGGCCCGAGTCCCAAAACCGTGCGGTGATCCCGGATCCCCGCCGACTCACCACACGGTGTGGTCACCACACAGTCTGAGGGCCACCGATCTCCCGTTAAGAGGAAGAAAGGACGAAGAGATCATCGGATGAAGACACACGAGAATCTCTGAAATCCGGCGGTTCTGGAGCATGTCTCGGGCGCCGCGGCCTCCTCAGAGCGCTTCCCAGAACGCTCTGAGAGCGTTCTGGAGCGCTCTGGAACGGATCCCTCCTCGTCTGACTACCTGCCAGACCACCCCAACCCAACCCGAAGACCCGAAGTTGACCCGAATTTCCGGTTCGGGGGGTACGGGTTCCATGTGTTTTCTCAACGTCCCCCGACCCCCCCCCCACTGGAGATGGAAGGCAAATTGAGGGCTTCGGCTTGGGTTGGGGTGGTTTGGTGGGTGGTGATCGTCCTGGCCCCGTCCGAAGCACGCCGTCTGGGGGCCCCCCGATCTCTCCCTCGCGACCTAGTGTGTCCGCGGGCCTGCGCCCCCGGCGTCCAGGCCGCGAGGGCGCGGGCCCGGGCCCCCGACGGCGTGATTTGTTCACGACGTCGACCCCAAGAGGTCTGGACTGAGGTCGGGCCTCTCCCCCTACAGGGGGATTTCGGACGAAAAATTAAGAAACAAAAAATCCTCAAAAGATGCACAAGAATACTCCAAAAATAGTCCCCAGACTCCTTTTTTCACTACATTTGACTTTCCCCCCTGTAGAGGGACAGGCCCGACTTAGACCCTTTCCCCCGTGGACCGGTTTCTCATCCTGAGTCGCTGTCCGACGG